GTTGATGTGTTGATTGCTCAAGAACGAAATCAAATTCTTAAAGCAAAAAAATAAGGGAATCCCATGAACGTAAGTTCTATAGACGGACTAATAACTTTAGTCGATCATACTGTAACTATTAATAAATAAAGTAGTGCATTCATGGATAAAATAGATCCTCAGATAGGACGCTTTTCACCAGTGAAGCTATGAAATATTGCAATGTTGATCCCAATTCCGTAATAACTGTACTCAGTAAGCACAGATTTCTTCTTCAAACTACACTACGTACAGTACAGCAATGAAAATAAGGATGATATTGAGACAAACTTCGATAGTACTGTACAGTACTGTATACTCTAAATGTTGGACTACTTTTACGTCAATCATTTTCTTACAGGATCTTGGCGCTTATGTCACTCTTTCCGAATAGACTGTATCAATTTTAGAAAGACTAAATTGATCCTACATTCGACTTTTTTGTTGCTATGAGTGCCAGTCTAAGGTAGCTACGAGTTCCATACGTGGTAGAAATTTGTAGTACAATAGAAGTCTCCGGTATGCGAATACTGGACGATACGATACAATCCCTGATACAATACTTGAAAAGTCTTGGGTGTAGACCACAACACTCAGTACGGCATAGTTTACAGTATTTGTTAATTATTGCTATACTGTACGCATCTGCTGTATATGTAATACGCGTCTCCGGTCCCCGCTGGACACGACTCACGACAACTAAAAATGAAGAATTTTAGTTGTGTACTCCTTCACAATACTGTATACTGTAATATGTGTACCAATAGAAGTAAATAATGTACATATTCGGTCCTAAATATTTCCAATAATTACAACTTTTCCAGGCGCGCTTGCTACATGTAAGGTCATAAACGCGAAACATACAGTACTGCACGAGTAGAAGTACAGTACAGTGCATTGTACATATCAAATTTCATCTTATTATATAGTATTATATTCTATATCTCTACGTATTGCACTAGAATGACTCGTCGACAACAGTAATTGATGATGATTAAGCACATTACACCGCTATACTGGATATTTTTTCAGTGAAAACGTCAAAAGGTTTATTAACAAAAACCGTTGATACTGATCGTCTGGGTTTTACATTTAGTACCTTGTACGCACGTTACGACATGTATAATCATAATGATGTATAATTAATTATTAGCAAAAGCATTTAATCGGTTAATCTACTGCCATGTTTAATAACAGATAGCAAGAAATATAAATATTCCGCGTAACTGCTCGTCAGGACAGACGATCAGTCTTGATATGAACTCTTTATGATACTTCGTTTTACTTTGGCCAATTTAGAAAAGATCAAGACCTGTTTAGGATTATAGTACAAAGTATATAGCAATACAGCACACTACTTAATGTATTACTAACTTAGGATCATACTTTTCACATTTACGTATGCGTTAACATTCGCGCAAGCACCTCTGTAATAAACAGTTAGATTCGATTGCTAGCCTAGTCTGCATTCTCTAAAAACGTATTTTTACGGTTTATTGCTGTATATGAATAGAACTATATGAACATAACAGTGTCCTTATTAACTCTACTGATTAATACCACGATTACGGCAAACGATCGATCATTCTTCGACATTTCGTCAATTGAGATAAATTGCGATGTAGTAGTGTAGTGTAGTGCGGTGCACGTACATTTATTACTTGCTTAGATTTTATACAATCAGTGTAAAAACAGTCTTTTAAGAACGTTTTAGAACTCTCTAAACTGCAGTTACGCTCAGTAAAAACAGCATTTCCAAAATTAGTTGTCATCTCTCTCGAACTGGTATACTGTAATCTACAAACTAGAGGCTTGCCTATCACTGACTGGAAACCTACAGTACAGTACTGCTCTGTAAAGGTTGAGATGCACGGCTTGGCACAGCGCTGATGGACTGCTGTGGTAACTGTTTGAAACAACCCGATTCAAACTCGACAGTACAGTACAGTACTTAGTGACTCCGAATATTGTAAAGCACAGTACTGTAGTATTGTCCAATACAGTACATTGTACTGTATGGAAACGCGTCAACACCAACTGTAAATAGCTTCGAAAATACCTAAACGCACCCTGCTTTGGTCATTCGTCTGTATTAATGTACAGGATTGATCACTATTTTGGAGATCAGTAACACTCAACTCCGCTTAAAATGATAGTGGACTGTATCATTTCCAATTTTACAAAGCCATTTTTACTATAACCAAAAGTCAGAAATTGACACTCTTCATATTTACTTTTGCTAGCACACCATTTACACCACTGCGATGGACGATATGTCCATTACGTCAATTCTTCATTTATTTAATTGAATTAATTAAATAGAAAAAGCCAAGAGCAATAAAAGGACAAAATGGACAAAAATAACCTGCTAAACTGTACCTATTTGTGCTTTTTATTAACACTCGTAACGTATGTGACTAATCGATTGACGTGATTTTCTGACTAGTTTTAGCTTCGAAGGACTTTTTGCTTTTCCTATCAACACTACATGTGGTAATTACCCAATTAGTGAATGACAGTATCCCTAAAAAGCTCTCGAAGTGGGTAAACGGTAATTGGTTTGCCTCTTGAAGAATAGCTTCATCATGGCCAGAATGAAGTTTATCACCGTAGATATCATGATGCTTCTTTCGCTTGGGTTGATATGTTCTATTGGTTTGGTTGATTGTCAGCTACCTAGCAAAGGTAAGACGAAGATACAGGAAATCAACTTTCCGCACGTGATACCATAATACGCGTAATACCATCTATGTTCATTCATCTATCCTGTACATAACACAGTGCACCGTGGTGACTTAGATTAACAATAAATGTCTATGTGAAATATTTTATGAACTTATTCAGAATTAAACTGATTTCAACTACAGTATTCCAAGGACCTTTATCAGACTTTATGCATATTGCGGCATTGATTGATTTGTAGATATTTTCTATTATTGTTTTTGTGTGTAATGATATACCGGTAGGTGGCATGTAATAGTTAATCGTTTCATAAACACTTTAGAACTTGATTGATAATGGTCTTCTGTCTTCACTTTACACTTTAGTACGGAGTGATCTGGCTTTACTCAGTTTATTTATTATTATTCTCTTGTAGTATGTTATGAACCTTCCGGCGAGGGACTAATTATTAAACAAATCGTTGATGCTCCTATCTTAAGAGGTTGTACGGTCTACGTTGGATCAATTTTTTTTGCCAACTATCGAATGAATACACAAGCACAAATCAATTCTTCAATATTCCCTGATTTACGGGAAATTACTGGATCTCTAGTAATGGGTTTAGTAGCTGGCAAATATCCAACCTCCCTTGGTTTTATGTTTCCAAATTTACGAGTAATCCGTGGCAATCAATTCTTTTATGGCTTTACTTTGCTTCTTTATTATGATCGGCAATTGCTAGACATGTCATTACCTTCACTCACCAAAATCGAACGCGGTAAAGTCAGAATCCAGTACAATCAGAATATGTGCTACTATAATACTATTAAATGGTCAAGTGTTATGGGATCAAGTTATGCACCTGATAGAGTCATCACAAAAACTTTACCGACTAATTGCCCAACTTGTCCAGCTAAATGCAATGGTTATTGTTGGAATGCACAGAAATGCCAAATCAGTATGTTGATTGATTAATAAATTACATTTACTACTGTAGAGCCCCTCCCTTGCTCATGATACTTTGTGTACTGTCTATGTACTTTTTTACTTTATATTATACTCACTACAGCCAGTTTTTTATTTTAGAGTATCTTGATCTGTATAACAATAAATAAATTCAATATTGCTTTCGACCTTTCGTGTAGTCTTGACAGACACACAGTAAATTCTCAATTAAATAACAGCGTAGTGTACTTGTACCCTAGCATCTCCTTAGAAGGTATTAGCTAATCTGATACATTGTAATTGCTACTTATTCATAATTTACTGATCCTAATGTTGGTTTATTCGATAGTTTGCGATAGTTGCGGTGAATCTGGTTGCGATAGCAATGGCAAGTGCTGTCATGCTGAGTGTTTGGGTGGATGTTTTGGTCCGCAAGCCAGTAATTGCTACGTATGTAAACACCAAAATTATAATGGTACTTGCATGACAGGATGTCCTTTTGGCACTTATGAGGTAACGATTGCGATAGAAAATAATTTTAAATAATGAGAAAAATAATTACGGTTTCTATGAACTAATATCATCTGTGATAACTTTTATTCTTGATTACATTCAGTATCAATACCAAGCATACAGATGCAACTTATTCTATATCATAGTAATTTATAAACTATGCATTATTTATGTAAACCTCTTTTAGTCGACTGAAGTTCTAGTTAGTTATAATAAATCATACCTAAACACAAAAATTGAGTACCAAAACCTTAAATTTGTGCTATTCTCCAAATCATATTATTGTATAGGTGGAAGGACACTGTGTGAGGCATTGTCCAGCAGGATCATATCGTCATAAACTTAGCTGTATAAGAAGTTGTCCTAAAGGATGGATAGAGTTTGAAGCGACCAAAGAGTGCATTGTTTGTGATGGATGTAAAAGAGGTACAGTATGTTTATATTAATCATAGCCCGATTTAAAGTAAAAACAATTTTAAAATTATTAGCATGCTATAGCGAGATTTAATATTAAGCAAAAAGTGTCGTAAGGCTTCTCCTATTAACCAGGAAATATTATTATAACTAGAATGTGATATGAAGAATAATGAAGGCCAAAACATTGTTATATCGTCAATCGATCATCGGTTACAAAATCTGAAACGCTGTACGGTATTAAAGGGCAACCTGATCATTCGGATAACTTATGGCTGTAAGCTTAAATATGTGCTTGCTATAACAATTTATGATATGTGCGCATGATACATTAAGGTTGAACAGTTTGTAATCCGTTTCTTAACCATATTGTATTGATACACTGTCATATTGATAGCTGGAAATATTGTGAAAGAATTGGAAGATGCTCTTAGCAACGTGGAAGAGATCGAAGGTTACTTGGAGATATCTAGCACACCTTCTATCGTCAGTTTAGAGTTCTTAAAGAATCTAAAAATTATTCATGGTAATCAACTAGCCAGAACCGATAAGGAAGGAAATGGGTACGCCAAACATTGTTTTCTTATTTCATTACTATAGCATATATGTAACAGTAATTAAGCTACATCCAGTGTGAATGATAAGTGATAAGAAAGTAAACTAAAATTCGCTCGACTGCAAATGCATTTACAAATTACACTCACTTCGCCGCCATAGTGATATCGTATTGAATTCGTTTCACCGGTGAAAATTATATGTTTAGGGTTACTTGCCCAATACTGTATCGTAAACTAAATACAACAGTAGAAAAATAATAATCGAGAAATGGATAACGATTTATATGATAACCTTTATATTCCATAGCTACGCTATTGTTATGCTTGACAACCGGAATTTAGAAAATTTATGGCAACCGAAAACGGAAGATAAACTAAAAGTCAAGAGAGGGAAGTTATTCTTCCATTTCAACCCACGCTTATGCCATAACCTTATTGTTAGACTAGCCAAAGAAATCGGGCAAGAAAATAATACGTCGCCATTAGATATCCCAGAACAAACCAATGGAGATCAAATTCAATGTGGGTATCTCAGTCTTTCGTAACGGTTTCAGATATCAACATTTCTACTTTTGTAAAGGAAGTCAAACACCGCATAAATCATAGCATTTTTTTATGTTATTTGGTCATTAATACCGTGTTAATTGATCAAAATTCTATAACTGCCTACTGAGTATGCTTAAAATCTTACAATTTTCTTTAATGGTTGTTGCATTAGGCACCATTCTTCCGATTAATATTACAACATTTCAACCTGTGGTACGATATAGCTACCGCAAAATTAGTTTAAAAGTGGAGTGGGTGCTGATCGATACCCTTCTACTTGGAGGATCTAATAAGCTAGTAAACTACATCGTATACTATCGGCCTACGTAAGTAATAATGTACAAATTTGAAAACCCTTTAATTGGAGTACTTGCTATTTTAGTGTCGATGTACTCACGCAGGATTTCAAATTACTCTCATTCAGGACTAACCTCAACGTGACCGTTTATGATGGTGTTGACGCGTGCGGAGTTAAAGTGTATGCTAAGATTATAGTAACTACTCTCGAATTATTAAATTTTTACATGTCGGACAAATTTACCTTGAATATAAGAATATTATTATAATCAACAGTTTTATGACTGGCTGGTGTTCTTATTGTCGTACTTTGTTTTTATTATTCCATTATATTATGCAATTTATAGATGGCAAGAGATCATTGTCGACGCTGAAGAAAACAAAACTGAGATCAAAAATTTAAAGCCGAATACGATATACGCTGTATACGTTAAAACCTTAACCATCAGCCGCGTTGGAGCTATAAGTGATATTAAATATTACGTATCGCCTGACGTGCGTAAGTATGGTATACTGTACTAATAATATACCCATTTAGCGTACCAAATGGTTTCTTACGCCAGTCTTGAAATTAATCTCACTACACGATGTTGTAGTAATATATGCACTTTACTTGCTGCAAAGGAAGATTCTAATTATGGTAGTTCGCTTGCCACTTTATACGTGTATAGCGTGTAACCAAGATTACACACTCTATGAGCTCTTTGTTTTTTGTCATGTAAAAGGAATTGCTAATTGCTAGTACGTGTAAACTATGTATTTGTTAGTAAATTATGGAATTGCCCAATTCTAACATGCTATCTAACTGTTGATCTAAAATTATTCTACTTATAACTATGGCAAGTTCTAAGTACATTAACAATCTATCCGTTATGGTATATATTTTCCCTAAGATATTTAAATTATCATTTGCCTACAGAACCCACGGAAATAAGAAATATAGAATACATCAACCTTTCGCCGTCATCCTTTCGAATCTCTTGGGATCCTCCGTCTTCTCCTAATGGTCTCAACTTAACTTACAAAATATTGTACCAGCAGCGTATAGAGAGAGAAATTTTGCCAACAGAAGTTTGCACTGCTAGCGGTACTGTCATCCCGAACCTTGTAATTAAACCTATCGTTGATGCAACACCTACACCTCCAGTGGCTGTAAACGATAGTTGTCCGTGTTTAGCTACTGCTGTACCAACATTAAGTCAATCTGAAGCTAAAGATATCCAAAGTGAAAATCAAAATTTTTATGAATATCTTACTCAACTCTTTTTCTATAAAAAAACGGCAGCACCTACTACGGTATCGACTGCGAATGTAACAACCCCGACTCCAACAACTGGTATGCTAATCATGTTCGATATGATTGTATTATTGTTACCTATTTTCTGCATTTTGGCCATGATTTAATATATCCCCAAGTACATTTTAATGGGTATATTTTCTGTTAAAAAATTCTTTCTTGAATAGCGACAACTGCAAGACCTACCACGAAAGCTACTACAATGCCAACTACCATAGCAACAACAGAACTTACTACCGTTTCTATGAGTAGGTCTACCGTTCAAACGACATCAACACCTAAGGCGACTCCTGCTCCTATTATAGTTAAACAAATTCGTGATACATACATTACGTTGGACAATTTAAAGTCTTTTACTAAATATAGTGTAACGGTAAGTTGAAATTTTAACTCTTTATGTAAAATTTCGTGTGTAATGTCCGATATCAACTTCGACTTAGTTGACGACAGAAATACAGTGTATTATGAGATGATAATTGGAACCATATACCTTTTCTACGTATAGATAATTCCATGCAATAGCAAATGTCCTTCTATTCGTGATGATTCCGCTTACGATTTATATAATATCAGGACCTTACCTGATGGTAAGTATATATTCAGTCTGTAGTTTGTCATGTAGGGTATAGCATATATTTCATTGATGAAATTGATTACATACGATTCTAGTGAAAAGAGATCAAATTGAAAATGTAAGTGTGGTAAAAGTTCCCAACAGCTATGACGTAGTAATGAATTGGAGTACACCTGTGAATCCAAATGGTGGGCATATATTAGCGTATGAGATTAGAATTACTCGCTATGAGGATGAAGTTCGGTATCTCGGGGGCTTGAAATACGATAAGGTATCAGCATTTATCTTGTTTACTATATATTTGATTTGCTTAATTAGTAGTACAGTATACAGTATATTGATTTTTGTAATATCACAAACTTGCGATCATGTATACAAACCGTCGTATAATTCTCTCTTTAGATGGAATCCAGATGTGTAGATGCCGCAAATTATAGTGAAGGAATCGGTCATGAAATTGGGTTAGGTAGATATGGTTTTTACATTTTTGACGTAAAAGCAACATCTTTGGCTGGAAACAGTTCCTGGGCTGGTAATATTTCAGTGGAGTTTATAAATATAGAAGGTAAAATGTGATGTCGCAACTGATTACTTTCTACTCTAAACAATAAATTTTAGTAATGACTAAATTCTAAGCAGTTTCTGTAAGGTATATGATGAGTTTATGATGTAACGGTACCCTACTGCATTACTATATATTTCATATGTCTTTATTGGAAAATTAAATCTCTTCCTTTATTACTCGAAGCTCGAGCTCAGGTCATTACCGTAGCCTCTATTGTTAGTGCTGCAGTTTTTGTTATCCTAACTGCCGGTGGAGGGATATGGTACTACCTAAGAAGACGGTAAATTAGACTATTGCCTTATGAACTATACTAAAACTCTTCATTAACTTGGCAATATTTACTCAGATTTAAGCAAAAGCACAAAGAATTTATAGAATCAATCAACCCCGATTATATGAATGCTGCAGATGGTAAGATTGTTTTCTATACGTACTGTATATATATTTTCATTCATTAAGTTAATAAAAAGTAACAAGAGATAATTTCATATGAACCTATCGGAATGATTACTATTTATTTCATATCACTAATGCTTATCTATTGTAACTATTATAGTTTATATTCCTGATGATTGGGAGTTTGAACGTGAAAAAATAGCGCTATTGAAGGAATTAGGTAAAGGTGCGTTCGGTATGGTATATCTTGGTGAAGCTGCTGATATTATTTATGGAGAACTAAAAACAAAAGTAGCTGTAAAGGTCAGTTAAGTATACCAATCGATAACCATATTAACCATACAAAGTCCATTTTACCAGTCAGAAATGATTATCATAGTAATTGATTATTTCATTTTTATCGTAGACGGTGAACGAGAAAGCTAGTTTCCGAGAGCGCCAGGAGTTTCTAAATGAAGCTTGTATTATGAAGTAATATTTCACACCTTCTATTACATTTGCAAATTATTAATTAGTGCGATATAATATAATACGAATACACACATATCCGTAAATACTATGCATAAATGCTATAATTACATTATTGCTCCTCTACTTACTAAATTTTGGTCCTATGTTGGGATAATCGTAGGCAATTTGATTGTAATCATGTGGTCCGATTGCTTGGAATCGTTTCGCAAGGACTTCCACCTTTAGTTATTATGGAGTTAATGGCTAACGGCGATTTAAAAAATCATTTAAGATCGCTTCGAGAAGATGCTGATAGCCCAGATTATGTAGGCAGCAATATACATGTATACGTATAATCATATATTAAATTATCTAATGAGATTTTATAAAGAATTTTGAGTTAAAATTATTCCAATTTATACGACCTTTGAAAATGTATAGTACTTGAAACCCAATCCTAACCGACCTTCCGATGTACAATTTCATAAAATGGCGGCCGAAATAGCCGATGGAATGTTGTATCTAAGTGATAAAAAATTTGTACACAGGTTGGTTGCGCGTAGTTTTCAAATTTGTATAAAATTAATCTATTTCTAGGAACGAATTCTTTGTAAGGGCTTGATATTCTGTTATTATTTTAAAACGAAATCAACTATAAGTCGCTACGTTTTAGCATCAGTTTTGAAATATTAATAGTAAATATTATGTAGTTATCGTCATTTATGCAATTTATATCCAGTTTACTACTTATGTATTAATTAGAGACTTAGCGGCGCGTAATTGCATGGTTTCCGGAGATTTTATCGTAAAGATCGGAGGTAAGAACACTGCTTAATTGTTTGAATTAAAATACTTAAAGAGTTTATTAATAACGTAAAAAAATTTCTTAATTTTAAATTTCAACATTTCGTGCCTCTCAGATTTTGGCATGACACGCGACGTTTACGCCAGTGACTATTACCGTAAAGGTGGAAAGGGTATGAAAATACGAGTCCTTATTTTATTACGATTGTATCCTTACAAACCGTCAATAGAATCAGTTATATAACATTTAAAAGTATTAATGCGAATTATAACTTGAATATAGGAATGTTGCCTGTTCGTTGGATGCCACCAGAATCCTTACGAGACGGTGTTTTTACATCAGCAACAGATGTATGGTAAGATGCATCAAAATATTCTTTGTTACAAACTGTGGTTAGACATTAAATATTTGGTCTAATATACGGGCGTAATTTTAATTTAGCCTTTTACTATTAAAATTTTAAAGGTCCTATGGCGTAGTACTTTGGGAAATTGCTACTCTTTCCGAACAACCGTATCCCGGAAAGTCGAATGAGGATGTTTTAAAATACGTTTTAGATGGTGGAGGCTTAGAAAGACCACCTTATTGCTCTGACAAATTGTAAATGATCTATATTTTAATGCTTTATATATATTTTTAATGTCTATCCTCGTTGCCTTTCTTATCTTAGCAAATGTCCATAATATTATATTTTAACTATCTTAGGTACCGCCTCATGGTTGCGTGTACGCAGTTTCAGCCAAAGTTAAGACCAAGATTTCGAGAAATTATCGCCTTGTTACTTCCCGACTTGCCAGAATCCTTTCAAGAAATATCCTATTATCACTCAGAGGAGTGCGCTGAAGCTGCAATGAAAGATGAGACAAGAAATGCGGAGAAAGAACGAGCAGCTGCACTAGGATTGGAAATTAGAGACACTGCTAACAGTGCGAACTCGATTAATAACGAAAGATATGACAGTTTATCAGGTACCACCCGTAGCAGCAGTAGTATCTCGAGAAAAAGTACCAGTGAAAGCAGCAACGATCAAATTTCCAGTAAAAATTTAATACTTAATAAGAAAGTCTTAAACAGTCAGCATGGCAGTGGTTCTATTATTCAAACTATTACCGCATCCCGTGATTCTACTATACTGCAGCGGCAAGAATTTGGCAAAAATCGTGAAGTTAGCAAATCTACCCCGTGTGTTGTGGTTACGAATAATACGCTAAGAGAGCGTGAAAAACCTCATACATTTGGTAGTACAAGAAATGTTCGTGTGAGCAAGTTATAGTTCACTACGTAAGCCATGTGATTACTTACGTAACTAGTGCAATAAATCTATGATTTCATTGCATTAATTTAATAAAAAGGGCTAAAAATTTTAGCATAAAATTTTCCTAGTTTCCACTAGGCATTTGAATGCTTTTCTCTTATTTGTTACAAAAATTTTTTAACTAATTTCTGAAAATAGTATTTATGTATTGCTCTCTTAATTAGTGTACTGTAACACTCCAAGTTATTACTGCCGGCGTGGATATATTATTATAAACTAAATTTTTAATTCATTACTGTAATTGATTGCAAATACTTTACTACGTACCTCAGCTGCCGGAGGCTTTGTTTGCTCCCTATAACTTTTATTTTAAGATTTTTAATCTAATATCATTTATTGGTCTATTTTATTCGATTCTTTGCTATCTTCAATTTCCTTTAGCTTATAAATAGGTAGTAAAATTAATTCGTTGTATGGAGCTCTTTAATCTGTTACAATATTCTTCTAATATATTAGAGTATATAGTATATAATACAAGTTGTAAATATGCATTTGATGATATGTGAACTGAACCCTATTGCTTCTGCTATGGCAATAATTGGCAATCACAATATATCATTGTTTTTATTATCTTGATATATTGTACCGGTAACTCGTTGTGAATACAATAACGTGCTTAGCGATATAGGGTAAACGGGAATAAATTCTTAACTTGAATTGTAGTTGTTGGTTAACAATATAAGCAAATTTATTCTATAGAAATGTTATTCGTAATTGCTGTAATGTTAATAATCTACTTATTTGATTTAATTGTAACCTAAATTAATACGAAAGCTTTGGTTAGCCATGTACGTATAATAAATTTAGATTAGTATTCGTAAATAAATATTATTACATTAAGGATGCTATATTATTTCTTTATTTTACTTTGCTTGATACGAGGTGCTGCTGACATGACAGCAAGCAAATATTCATTTTATCTAGAATTGTCTTTTTACGTGCACCCTTGACTTCACCTTGATCAAAAGCTGGCATGATAAGCTAGTATACTATAGTACTACGCATAATAATGCATTTCATTTTATTGCTGTGGTTAGAAGAGAAATCTGTACTAAAGAAGTTATAAAGATATCAAGATAAGGGAAAAATTACATTAACTAAAGTCGCGGAAATATCTTAGTCCCTCGTTTCAGTTTCTAGCGTATAATTATAGATTGTGAATTAAATTTTTGAAAGTTAGGTTCAGTTAAATGAGACGATAACAGACAATATGAAGTTTATACGTGCCACAGCTAACGTTATTTTACGAAATACATTCCTCGATGTTCCATCACATTGTGAAAAGGTCTTATTACGGCTTCACTGCTCCATGTGGCAATATCTGCTTGTACGTTGTGCAATATTATTGTTCGCATAGGAAATTGAAGGCAGAAAAAGGAGCCCTCCTTGGTCTTGGTGCGCTATAAGTAAAAAAGAAAAGCATAATAGCAGTTTATCTCGATATAAATTATTAATTTCTTCAAAATTATTAATTAATTAATTAATTAATTATTTTAAGACTGACCTTTAGTCCTGCCTTTTTCTATACACCGCACTGGGCACTGGTGATGAACTCTTAAATTAAAAATAGAGAAAATTGGTACAGTACAAATATCTCAGTTCAATCTGTGCAATTTATTTTTACTACTGTCACAAACCAGCTTCGTGACAAGGATAACGTAAAACAAATCTCTAAATTACTATAGTCTCCGGGATTCAGTATCCTTTAACTACCTCATAAGAATTTAGACGCCTTTGATTCTACGTTAAACTCAACTAGACAATTGAGAACTGCTTTATTCAACTATCTGACGGGCTTATATACCCTTCTACAGCAGCTAACATTCACGAGTCATCTTATAAAAATACTTAGGTGAGAACATCTACTAACTAATTTTTCACAGTCGGACTACAATATGTCCATTCACAGAATCATTTCAGTACAGTACACATTACAGCACAGCATTAAATTTACTGTAACACATTTAATAATTAATTAATTCCTACTGTAAGTAACTAGTTGTAATATATTATCACTATATTATATTAACCAAATTTAGATTGCTATTTCTTCACGGTAGTTCGTACCGTGATAACTGCTCTAACGCTATTTTAGGAGTTGCTGTAATATTTCCGTGTTTCAGTATTGGGCAGAAAACGCTATCCTAATTCAAGTGTTCAACCAATGCAATGTTGGGGATCCGGGCCTGTTTACAAGAGTGTAATAGCTGTCTGAGATATGGTTTACAAACTGTATGTTTGTCCTGTGCAGGTAAGTAAGTATCTGGAACTATCTTATCTTGTACTGAACATGATAGCCAACAGCACATTCTTTTGGGATTTTCCCCCATCCTCCACTACAGTACAGTAAAATAAAGTTGATGTTTTGCGTAATTAGAGTGATGAAAAAATTTGAAATTTTTTTTCTCTTAAAGGGTTAATTCCTCTGCTGTACAGTACAGAACCGTGTGTATGTACATATAATTTTATTATTTATTTATTCCATACATACAGTATAGTGCTCACTAGCTGCACTCGCACAGCATACTGTATACAGTATATGTTTATGAATACATAATGCATGATATGATTAAGCATTTATACCCTACCCAAGGATAGCAAGAAGTCATCGTAAACCTGCGGGGCCTTATGTCAAGCCTAGTCCTGCCTGAAATTGATGGAGTACTACCGTAAAATGAGTCGAGATGAAATTGAACGAATAGGCACAGTTTTATAAATCTGCGGATACGTGAGTTGGACGCATAAAAATATTTCTCTTATTGTAAATACTGTGCGACTAGCAAATTGACAATTACAATCCATTATAGCATAATTTCCAGCCAAATGAATTGAAATTACTTTTTGATGATTTAAGTTAACTCTAATTTTTAATTGGTGATCCATTAGTACAACTTGTTCGTGGGATACTTCACTGTTCTGTATCGTAGTAGATTGTCTTGGTTACAAATTTACTCTAATGTTATCATTCTGTAAGTCGTAAATGAATTGGTAATTTAGAGATCGCTGTTGTTCTACTGCTCACCAACCAGCCAGCATCATTCTTCACACCTATTTAGAAAATAATTTTGACCCATAAGCCCAATGTTTTGGGGTGGGGGACCTTTCGTCGTAACGAAGATGCCTTGATCGCAGAAGTCCAGAGGCTCTGGATAAGGAAATAGTTTGGCTTTTGGAGATCTTGCTACAGTGCTTATTCAAAATTCTGATACTTTAATAGAACTATCGGTAAAATTGTAAGTTGATAGTCTATACTGTATTGATCTATACAGTATATTCCACACTGCACAGAACGTCAAGTATCATGAGCAGGAGTTCTACTAGTAATTATTAACAAGATAACGCTAAAGGACAAGACAGCAGTATCGATAGTGAATTTGGTGAAGTACGGGTATTTCTAAAGTAGTACCTTATTACATTACAAAAATAATGAAAAATATAGAATGACTAGCTAGTTTATGACGTACCAATAGGGCAATATAGTTTGTTTGAATTTACTCGTTATGCCAAAAAGATAACAATATTGGAGACAAAACGCTCAATTTATTGATGATACTGTAGAGAGCCAATGCCCCCCGACAATGGGCCAACTAAGCCATCTTTTCTAGATGCTATCCATAAGTGTACAAATAAGATCACAGGTTCAAAAGGGACCATGGCGGCGATTTCCAAGACCCCTAAGAATGAATAAACAAATTCTTGACAGATCCCGTAGTAATGTCGTACGTTTACCTGATGAGATGTAAAAAATATCATACTGTACTCTGCATGCTGTAGTGTAGAAAAAAACGAGCATACAGTATTATGGCTGCAACTGTTTGCAATTGCTAGAAAAAACAACGACCTGAAATCGTATTGACGGTAGTATGGTAATTTACAGTAGGATAAAAGAGTGACATGCTAGGTACTTTTAATAAGAATATGAATTTGATTTTACTTTCATTAAAGGTTATAAATACGATAAGTACTGGCGACGTCATAAAGCATTATAAATTGGATAGTGAACAGTACTGTACATGTTATAACCTGCTTCTACATACTTTTTTATAGAAAATTAGTCCATTAGTCCTAAAATCTGATGTCTGATTAAGACAACATCTCGTAGGTATACGTAAGCCTGTATGCTTACAAGAGTTGTTACTGTCATTTAGGATTACTACATAACAGCAACAATTTTCATAGCGATATTCTTTTTTTTATATACTCCAGAATCGTATATCCAGATGATCGAAAGTTAGCACTGAAGAATTTCTTCTGTACAACGTACGAGTACTCGTATATCAAAATTTTGAATAAAATCAAATTACTCTCTGGAAGAAGATGAAGTATCCAGTAGTCGCGAAATTAATTTCTCTCATTACCATCGCCTATATTAATCTACAAGCGGTCGATTGTCTAATACCTACAAAAGGTAACGACATAATCAAGATACCATTACTCTTAATACGCTTGATGTTTGCAATTTAAATTATCGCAACCATCTACATGACCAATATAGACTAATAGTAGCTTTCGTAAAATTTTTTAACAATTTTTCTTACCTGCTATATTCATTTTTTTTCTATTTTTTGCCTTTATCCTATCCACTAAGCAATCAGATCAGTTAAAGTACTCATTTTAAAATGAAACATTTTAAAGCTAATATACATACAATGACGTAATAAGCTTAGTCTTAAAACGTAATTTCTTCCTATTAGATCATCAAGATTTTATCCAAACCCATAAAGTATAGTACAGTAAATATAACTACCACTCATTCTATTTTGTGATTAAAATATTACGATTGATAGATATAATATTACGTTCATTGTGTGATACAACGAAAGAAACATTTCGTATATATGTACCTTACAATTTAGCACACAAAGTACAAGCATTTCTATTTAGTCCGTCTACCAAAGTCATCATACAATTAATGTGAAAAGTTTGTTAAACTTTATTACTGTGATATTAAGCCGATAAGTTCTACTCCATTCTGCAATGTTCTCTAGCTGCTCTGTATGTTATATAAATGCATCATATCCCTTTTTCCAGCCCTTTAATCGATTGCTTGAGGAAAGAACGTTCCACATTAATGTAGTAACACTTGGTACTAAAATTGATACTTTATACCTGCATTTTTAGACTTTTTTAGCTCTCCAACTGGATCAACATTTTTAACATAAAAATAACTATCAGAATATGCTTAGAAGGAATTATAGCATTACCAGTAAAACCTTATAGCTGTTCAAGTAGAGTAAAATTCGTGATTTGAGCTATTATGCTGAATAGCAGAGCAAGGGAAATTAAAATTAATTTCAGTTTCTTTCACTTTGAAAAATAATTATTCAGTACTGAAAGCCGCTAAAATCAATTATCGTAATTATAGATATATTTATTCTCATATATATTTAAATTTTCAGGCAGGAATGCACTACTTCCATAAATGAAAACAATTATATTTTAAAAATTATTCACATTTTATTTCTTAGAAAATGACTAAGTTAATAATGAGGCTCATAAACAATTCTTACAATTATTCTTTCAATTCCAGCATATATCATTATAATTTTTTAAAGCAAGTATTTATAGCACTTAATTCCAAATTATTAATATACATAAACGTTTATTAAAACTATCTGTATTGTAGTGTACAGTGTACACCGAGCATACTGTATAGTAAGGTATTCATTGTATAGTAATTCTTTTCTATAAAATCATCCTCGTCAAGCAGACTGTACGGTGTAATTACAGTATAGTTTGTAATAAAAATATTGCGCCATTACTGTATTTTAACCAATCATAAGCTTGAAAAGGTCAATTATAGGTCGAAGAAAAAATTAACTAGTTGCTAAGGCGAGTATTAGAAATCAGTTATAGTTATTGACAATAAAAAGTAGGCCAAAAATTTGACCACCAATTAATTTATCCGATAATATATTTTTCTTAGGCCTGCTGAATAGTCAAGGATTATTGTGTATTAATTTTTTTCCTATGCACCCTACATGTTCTCTAGATATAGACCAACAGTAAAGTAGTAGTCTATTGAATGAAAGAATAATCTCACTTTGTCATGTAAGCATAAAATAAACGGTGTTAGTTACTACATTATTCTGTATCTGACATATATATATGTTATATACATGACAGATTAACAATATTTTGTAATGTATGCTCAAAGCATCATTTTCGGCTTCTTGATTCAATTACCTTGCAGTTACCGAACCCTATCGCTTAAGTATTCAATCGACTGATTCTATTTCCCTATCGTATAAATTAAATTCCTATTTCCTTATGCCTATTTTATCGTGCTTATAAGTGCATAGTACATCCTTGTATTATTTCAATTACGAATTTAGTTGTCTACAATTCCTAATGAAATTTTATTTATTTATTTGTCTACACACTTTAAAGTATGATATCCTATTGCATAACGTAACAGCTCTTGCAAATTATAACAAAACCACTACTGTATTAGAGATATAATCTGCGACTTTATGGTATTGACGCTATTTTCTCTCAAACAGCCTGCCACGATCCTACCGGCGATGGTCTACAGCTTAAATTTGTCAGAGATGCCCATGTTTTAAAAGGTTGCACAGTTTACATTGGATCAGTTTTCATTATTATGTATCGAATGAACACGCCAGCTGAGGTCAATGTAACCACTTATCCTGAATTACGCGAGATTACCGGATCTCTAGTATTTAATTTAGTAGCCGGAAAACAATTAACTTCATTGAGTTTAATGTTCCCAAATCTTCGTGTAATACGTGGCAATCAATTCTTTTATGGATTTACTTTACTTTTCTACTTTAACAACCAACTGCTCGATATGGCATTACCATCTCTTACTAGAATCCAACGTGGCAATGTCCGAATCCAACAGAACCGCGAGATGTGCTATCATAGCACTATCAAATGGTCAAGCTTAATGGGAACAAATGATTCACCGGATAAAGTAATCGCTAAATCTTTACGAGCAAATTGTCCTTCTTGCCCTAGCAGATGCAACGGCTACTGTTGGAATTCAGAACACTGTCAAATTAGTAAGTTACATACGTTAATACCCAGATAATCTTTTAGTTACTGTATGCAGCAAGGGACTGCAGTAAATTAGTGGGTACATACTAGGACTGTGTGCGAAGAGGTTCATATCGTCAGCTATAAGCGACGGATTATTGAGCTAGTCTTACGTAATTATACTAGTAAAAGGCCTTATATATACAAGCATTAATTGTGGTAGCATCATTATACAGTGTTATAATCAGGTTTTGTTTTATATATCTTTCTAAATTTAAATTGTTAATCTATATTAAATAGTATGCGATAACTGTGGTGAATCTGGCTGCGATAGTAATGGAAAGTGCTGCCACTTTCAGTGCTTGGGTGGTTGTTCTGGTCCTTCAGCAAAGGATTGCTATGTATGTAGGCATCAGAATTACAATGGAACTTGTATGACAGGATGCCCTATTGATACTTTTGAGGTACAATCTGATAAATCAGCTGTAATACCTTATATCTGTTTCTTATCTATTTAGTTAATCAATTAAAGTTAATAACAGTTTGATTATAGCTTAACTACTAGTTACATCCGGAGCAATTATCGTTGTGCGTTAATGCCCTCTAATGACAGAATCGATGGAAGCACTAATTATATCATCATACTTTTGTATGCCAACCCTTGTAGATGGAAGGCCACTGCTTTGAACGTTGTCTTCAGGGATATTATATACACTTAAATTCACGTAAATGTGTCCGAAAGTGTCCGATAGGATGGACAGAAGACGAATCAACTAAAACCTGCGTAGTCTGTAATAACTGCAAGAGAGGTATACAAATGTTAAACGTCCAGATATAACTTAGATGATTTAGAAATATGCTGCTAAAAATATACAAATAGTTTACCTATACCTATACACTTATACCTATATTATGCATCATGTTTTCATACACACTTTATCCGTTTATATACAATTATACATATACAGTATCATACTCGATGAAATACTTTAAAATCTTCCTTAGATGACAAGTTATACGAATATGTATATAGCATCAGACTACCTATATATAGTGATTTACTATAAAGAAATAACGAGAACTTTTACTATTTCAGAATGCGAAGTAAAAGATAAAGAAGGTAAAAACCTTATAATATCATCCGTCGATCATCAGTTACAAAACTTAAGAGAATGTACTGTACTTAAGGGAAACTTAATCATCCGAATTACTTATGGCTGTAAGTTATGTCTTAGTAGTTTAATACAATTCTTTCTTATTTTATTACTGGTAACTACTTCTAATATTACTATTTCATTTCA